ATATATATATATTTAAATAAATTCACTTAGTTTCAGGTATACAATATATTGGTTAGACGTCTATAATGTTCATAAAACGGTCCCCCCAGTTGCTCCCTCCCTCTCTTGGCTCTCCACTTAACGATCATATTAATGCTAACTGCATTCCCTCTGTCATGTTCCTCATACCTAACTATCGACTACTAATTTGTAGGTTGCTTCCATATCTTGGCTATTATAAATTGTGCTGCATGAATATTGGAGTGCATAAATCTTTACGAATTATTGTTTTGGTTTTCTTTGGATAAATACCCAGAAGTGCAATTGCTGGATCAAAAGGTATATCCATTTTTAATTTTTTGAGGAACCTCCATACTGTTTTTCATAGCGGCTGTACCAATTTGCTATCCCACCAACAATGTATGAGAGTTGTCTTTTCTCTGAATCCTCGCCACTTACTATTTTGATTTATTGATGATAGCCATTCTGACAGGTGTGAAGTGATATCTCATTGTGGTTTTAATTTGCATTTCTCTGATGATTAGCAACCTTGAGCAACTTTTCATAAGTCTGTATTTCCTCTTTGGAGAAGTATCTGTTCAGTTCTTCTGCCCATTTTTTAATTGGACTGTTTTTTGTTGTTGAGTCATATAAGTTCTTTATAAATTTTGGATATTAATCCCTTATCAGATGTATCATTAGCGAATATCTTCTCCTAGTTGGTTGTCTTTTTGTTTTGTTGATCAAGTTTATATTTATAAACAAAAATCTACAAAGAAAAAATCACCATGGAGTTTTATACTGGCTTTGTTATTTAAGCAAAAACATTACCTTTCTTCAACAAGCTGAGTTTTAAGTCTCAATTTTAGAGATTTAATTAAAATTTAAAAATTCAATGATGTGAAATGTCTAGTTTATTGTTAAGACATACATAAAAAAAGGTCAAACTTTTCACAGCATGGGAACAAAGACTAAGGAAATAGCAGAAAATATCACAATAAAGAAAAATGAACATGACTCATGGATATGTCAAACAGAACTGGGCAGGAAGTATTTTATAGAATAATCTAGGTCTCTCTAAACCACCTGCAGAGAATCATAAATGTGGCAAGGCCGCATGCCATTTAAACACTATGAGAGTATACTCAAGTTCATAGCATTATTCATAATACCTAAAATGCAGAAGCAACCCAAGTGTCCACCAATGAGTGAAGAGATAAGCAAGTTGTGGTATATACAGAGTGAAATATTATTCAGCTTTAAAAAGAAATTCTGACACATGCTACAACATGGGATGAACCTTGTGGATATTATGCTAAGTGAAATAAGCCAGTCACAAAGAGACAAATACTGTATGATTCTACTTACATGAGGTACATTATGAATATAGTCAAAATCATACAGACAGTACCACTAATGGTGGTTGCCAGGGACTGAAGGAAGGGGAAAATGGGGAATTATTGTTTAATGGACATAGACTTTCAGTTTTACAAGATGAAAGGAGTTATGGAGATGGATGGTGGTAATGGGTGCAAAACATTATAAATGTATTTTAATAACACAGACTGTACACTTAAAAAGTTAAAATGGTAAATTTTATCACAATTTAAAAAACTGGAAAAAAAATCAGAGCTTATCTATTTATCAATTATATGCTAACTGTAGGCTATATACAGAATGCACCGCTACTGGTACTCAACCCCCATGTATTCCAAATCAAATCTTATGTGGTTTGAGAAACATTTTTTTTATTATTAAAGGATGACAAAAACAGACTGGCACCTGTATTCTTTATTGAAATTTACAGGTGTTCTTTAAGGAACAAACACAAAGACAAGTGGGCTACAGTGAAATCTTACTTTTATAAGAGAGTGAAAAAGCCACAGAGATACTTCCAGGTATTATCTTCAGTGATGCTTCTTATCTTTATTCTGGGACTCCAGGTAATATTCAGCCCCCACTGCTACTACAAATGCAGCAAATCCCCATTTGAATCCTTTTAATAATGCGCCAACAAAGGAAACATTGTTTGCAAAGTTGCCCATGTATCGCCAAGCTTCATTGCTAGAGGAAAAATGGAAAAATTATAATCACATGCATCTTACATATATTCATTGAATAAAATACATTTAATTTTCATCTTTCTAATAGACAAATGCAACCTTATGTAAGATAATCTAAGTGGATCACAATAGGAATCTGTGTGGCACAGGATAATTAGGTCTATATGCCTACATTTCACATATAAAAGAGGAAAAACACTTGATTTTACATTTCACAGTCATAATACTCAGGATTTTATAAAATTCTCAAATGCAAAGCTTGCTCTGGCTTATCAATCACAGGTCATCAGTGTGGCTTTTCCATACTAGTCATTATAACATCATGGAAAGAGAAAGTTACAGGGTATTAAGTTTTTCTCTGTCACTTATACTAATTTCACAGCCTTTAAGGCTGGGTAAGTTACTTAACCTGCCAGCTTCCTCTCCTACACAATGATGATTACTATCTACCTTATAGTGTTATTATAAAAATTATACAGGGTAAAATATGATATATTTTGGCACAGAGAGTATGTAACATTTGACATTATTACTATTTAAGAGAATCATGGTTTTCCCCTGTCATAGCAGCTTGAACTTTAGAAGACTGATTTTCTCTCCTGGCAATCAATCTTCTGAGTACTCTGAACAGAGAAGTAAACAGAAATCAGAGCGCTCTACTGAAAAAAGTCTTCCCTCACATACAAGAATAAGTGAGTGGAAAAAAATCATGTTACGAAAGACAAATATCTTAACTTTAAAAATTTGACTTACAAAAAGTATTAGAGCTAATCAAATATAATTTAGATACCAAAACCAGACAAAAATATTAGAAAACTATAGTAATATCTTCCCACGAACATAGATGCAAATATTCTTAACAAAATTTTAGAAAATTGAATCCATCAATATATAAAAAGGATACTATATCATGATGAAGTAGAGGTTACCTCAGAAGTACAAGATTGGTTTAATCTTTGAAAATCAATAACAGTAATTCATCATATTAACAGGTTAAAAAAAGTGAGTTTTCAATAGGTTCAGAGAAAGCATTTAACAAAATTCAAAACCCATTAATAACAATATCAATAATAATAGCAACTCATAGTAACCTTGCAATAGAAACTCCTCAAGTCGATAAAGACCATCTATGACCACCCACAACTAATATCACACTTAGTGGTAAAAAACTAAATGCTTTCCCCCAATGAAGAAAAAGGCAAAGATGTCCATTCATGCCATTTTTATTCAACATTATATTAGCAGTATTAGCCAGTGCGATAATGCAAGAAATAAAAGGTTTACAGATTGAAAAGGAAGAAGACTGCTTCTGTAGACCAAGTGATCATCTATGAAATAAATTTTAAGAAATCTATAAAAATACTGCTAAAACTAAAAAGTGAATTTAGCAAGGTAATGTGATACAAAGTAAACATATACAACAATTGTATTTTTATATATTAGCAATGAACAAATAGAAGCTTAAAAATATCATTTATAATAGCATAAAAGTACAGGATAATTCAGGATAAATTTAACGAGATATGTACAAGACCTATATATAAAGCAATAAAACATTGATGAGAATATTAAAAAGGATCTAAATTGTCCATGGACTGGAAGACTCAGTATTGTTATCAATTATCTGCAATTAAGGTATAGAGTAAACGTGATCCCAATTAAAATCCAAGCAAGTATTTGTAGAAACTGAAAAGCTCTTTCTAAAATTTAAATGTAAATGCAAAGAACTTAGAATAGTTAAAAAAATAAAATAAAATAAAGTTGAAGATCTTATACCACCTGGCATAAGGGTAGACATATTGATCAGGGTAACAGAATCCAGAAATAGACCACAGAAATAATGTCAATTGATTTGACAAAGCTATCAAGGTAAATCAATGGGGGAAGGTGGTCTTTTATAAATGATGTTGGAACAAACTGTACGTCCATATGCAAAAATATTAACCTTCATCCTTACCTCACATGACATAAAAATTAACTCAAAATGGATCATATGCCTAAATGTTTAAAAGAACACTGTAAAAACTTCTAAAGACATTACCAAGTAAATAAAAAGATAAGCCATACTCTGGGGGAAAATATTTGCAAAACTTAAATCTGATAAAGGACTTATATTGAAAATATAGAGAGAGCTCTTATAATTCAATAATAGAAAACAAACACCCTGAAAAATAAAATGTTCAAAAGGTCTGAATAGACATTGCACCAAAGAAAATATACAAATGACAAATAAGCACACAAAAAGATTCTCATGATCATCAGCCTTCATAGAAATGTAAATTGAATTAAAACCACAAAGAGGTATCATGTTTACTACAATGGCTAAAATTAAAAGACTGATAATACCAAGTACTGATGAGAAGACGGAGTGACCTAAATTCTCATATATTGCTGGTGGGAATGCAAAACGGTATAGTCACTTTGGAAAAGTTTGGCAACTTTTTTTTTTTTTTTTTTAATGCCTACAGCACCTGGTATTCCTAGGTGGTCTCCCATCCAAGTAGTAACCAGGCCCAACCCTGCTTAGCTTCTGAGATCAGACGAGATCGGGCACATTCAGGGTGGCATGGCTGTAGACACAACTTTTTTTTTTTTTTAAATAAAAATAACTGTATACTTATCACGAAATCCAAAAATCCCACTCTTATGTATTTCCCCAAGAGAAATGAAAACATATATTCACATAGACTTGTATTCAAATAGGTATAGTCCCAAACTGGAAATAACCCAAATGACCATTAACTATTGAAGAGTAAACGAAATGAGATATATGCAAACAATTGGGTATTACTCAGCAATAAAAAATAAAGGATCTACGGATATAAGTTAACAATGTGCATAAGTCTCAAAAACATTATGCTAAGTGGCCAGAACAAAAGATTATATGCTGTATGATTCCAATTGAATAAAATTCTAGAAAAGGCAAAACTATAGAGACAGAAAGCAGATCAATGATTGCCAGGAGCCAGGGGTAGGATGGCACTGAGTGCAAAAGAGGAATGAAGGAACTTTTGGGGATGAAAGAAATAGTCTGTATTATGACTCTCGTGATGGTTACGTAATAGAATACATTTGTCAAAATTCATGGAATTATATACTTAAAATGGGTGAATTTTATTGTATGTAAATGATACCTCAATAAACCTGATTTTAAAACTTAAATGTAAAAAGCTATTTTCAATAATTTTTAAAAGGAAAATAATTGAAAGGTATATAGATACTAATTCCCTAGGATAAATTCTATCTAAATATTTAATTATTCTTACCGGCCCCATGGATCTCTTAGCCCTCGTGCAGCCAGCTTCTCCTGGACAGTTTCTAAAGGTGTCCCCTCTATCTTCCATTGTTTATAATCTGGAAGTTCCATTTTACTATGACCATGTTCATGTCCATGTCCATGTTCATGTCCATGGGCCATGTCTATAGGAAATGATTAACATAAGGGAGAAATACACAGATTATAGATATCAAATACCCAAATTTACTATTCATGTTTCAAGATAAAACATTTAATGTTTTAAAAAGAAGCCAATATAAATACTTGAAAATTCTGAGTTAAGAAATTTTATAAAACAGTGTCTTATTACATAACTAGTCTATGTTCACAGTTAAGAAGTACACATATACAAAATACAAAAAAGAAAAATAATCAGTAATCTCATCACTCAGAGGCAACCATTTATTATCTCATTCCTTTCTTCATTATATATAATGACACCAGACATTTATTGTACCCTATGTGCCAGGTGCACTAAAGTGTTTTACATATATTAACTCTGTTAGTCCTAAAACAACTCTTTGAACTTAAACTATGATTATCGTCCCCATTTTACAGATGAAAACAATGAGTTCCAAGAAAGTAAGTAACTTTCTGAAGATAACAAAAATAGTACATAATACAATGGATTTTAAACCTTGCAGTTTGGTTTCAGAGTCCTTGTCCCTAACTTCTAAGCAATTTGTTTCCTTCCTTTTAGCCTTTCATAATGCATAAACATGTAAAATGAAGATGTTTTACATACTATTTTGTTACCTGCTTTCTTCAAAATGATCCTTTTAAAATGCAGTATTATTTTAAATACATATGATCACATGAACTTTTTCTGTAAAGAGCCAGATAGTAAATATTTTAGGCTTTGTGGGTCAAAAGGTAAAATCAGGGACACTCAGTAGGCACTTATATAAAAGCGAAAACAAATATTTTGTTGATAAAATTCAAAATATAATAAGGGAGTATAAATTTTTTGTAATACAGGGCTACTGATGAAAAAAATGGAATTCTCTTTTTTAGAGATAACATTTTGCTTAACTTGGGCTCAAAGTTTAGTGTTCCTTAATATCAAATTGATTGCTTATGTTAGTATGTAGAAACAATTCTTAACTCATAGGTGTATAAAAACAGGTTGAACTTGGCCAGCAGGCTGTAGTTTGCTGACTACTGAACTAAACCAACAGAGATCTTAGGACTCCTTTTTGATGACTAAGTTTGCTCCTTAAATAAAATATGCCTTAACGGTTATATAAAGATTTCGGTTTTACTATTTTTACATGTAATGTAAATTCTTTTTACAGATAATGTAAAAATAAACTTCAGCTCAGTCCCCAGTTAAATTGCTATAAATTTCAAATTAAGGGGGGTATGAATTAATAATGCTATACTGTACATTTGTATACGGTTATTAGCAGCAATTCTATAATCACTGCTCTCCAGAAATAAGACCAAACCAAATAATTACCATTATGTTTGCATTTATAACTATGAACAGGCCCAATAATAAGGCAGAATTCTTATACCGCATTTTAGGAGACAATGGTAATTATTAGATAGTATATACCAAAACACATTATGTGAAATGCTCATTTCATTAAACAATAGTTCCCAGAATATTGGGGGGGGGGGGCGCAAAGAGGAAACTGTACACTGTAATTCTGACCAATTAACATTTAATATTTATAAATACTTTTTTTTTTAGAATTTTTATAAGAGTTTATTTGATGCAAACTTATGGGAGCAAGATCTCGTATGCTCCCTATAGATACTACAAAACATTATGTTGATGATTTTCACATATAAAAGAGAATGAAAACCCATACCCACTCAACACAAGTTAAAACTACAATACAACTCTGAATGAAACATTTAATCCACTATTTCATTATTAGTAGATTCAGTAATATAAAGAAAAAAATTTTGGTTTCAGATTTCAGACTGACTTTTGAAATTCAATACATGATTACAAAAAAAAGACTTTTAGAAGCATTTAATTAGAATAATAATGTCTTGGCTTCTTAAAACTTTTTCAAAAAAATATTTTTAAATGTTTCATTCCCAAAATGTTTAGAGATTATAAGACAAACCCTTATGGCAAATGTCAATTCTAGAATATTAACCTTCATTGACTAGCAACGTACTTTGAAGAGAATACAAAACATACATCAAAATTTTGTGATAAAAGTTTGATTTTGAAAATAAAAGTTGAAACATTATAAGGGAAGAAGCCTATTTCCAAATTATAATCTTACTATGCTCAAAATAGTAAGTAATTTGGAAGATAAAACTTTGAAAGAAAACATGAAAGTATACATACACTAATTTCTCCTAAACAAATTTTCTTTAAAAAATTCAAATGTTTTCTCTCTTGCCTAATTAAAATATTTCAGAAAGGATCCCTTTATAGGCATTTACTAAATAGACTATTTCAATGACTCTTCAAAAAGAACAAAAAGTTGGACACTTTCTAGGGAACTTTTCATTTTCTTTTAAAAATAATTTCTACTTCAGAATACCCATAACTCAAACAACGATATCCTGATCACTTGAAGGAAGAGTCTGGAATTCTACTTAAGTACATATTTTGATGCTGTACAGATCTGGCATCAGATCCTGGACACACCATTCTATAAAATGCTAGGCAAATCATTAATGTCTCTAAATTTCGGTTTCTTCATTTAACATGAGGATAAAACTTACCTTACAAGATTGTGAGAACTGGGGAAATCACATTGTGATGTACCTTCCAATTTCACACCCAAGTGGTGAGAATGTGACTTAGCACAACCACTCTGAAAAACTGTTTGGCATGACCTAGAAAAGCTGAACATTTGGATACCTTATGGCCTAGCAATTCCACTCCTAGGTATGTAAACTCAAGATCTGCACTGTCCAATATGGTAGCTACAAGCAGTTGAAATGTGGCTCAGTGCAGCTGGGGAACTTAAAATTTTGAAGTTTGGAACAATTTGGGCATATGGATCTACTTTTTCAATGGTAAATTTGATGAAATATAAGCACAAATCAAGTGTTTATGAAAACTTAGCATACAAACATAGTCTATAAGTGTAAAATATGTCAATTTTGAAGAAGGTATGAAGAAAATGTAAAATATTACATTAATAACTTTTCATACTGATTACATCTTGAAATAATATTTTGAATATACTGGATTAGATAAAATATATTATTAATTTGTTTCTTCCTACTTTTTAAATATGTTTACTTGAAAATTTTATTTTATTTTTATTTATTTTTTAAATGTCTATAGCACCTGGTATTCCAAGGTGGTCTCCCATCCAAGTACTAACTAGGCCGGACCTTGCTTAGCTTCCGAGATCGGATGAGATTAGGCATGTTCAGGGTGGCATGGCAGTAGACTTGAAAATTTTAAATTACATATCGCTTGCATTATATTTTCGTTGGACAATACTACTCTATAGAAACTCTTGCATGTGTACAAAATATATTTTTACTATATCTGTTTAGCCACCTTGTTTATGCTAGCCCCAAACTGTAAACAACCCAAATATCCAACAATAATGGATTATGGAATAGTCACCTATGGAATATTACAGAAAAACTACATGCAAAAGTATGAATGAATTTACAAATATAATGGTGAGCAAGGGGTGAGTGAGAAAAAATAACGTACATTTTGATCCTATTTATATAAATTAAAAATCCTAACAATGCATTCTTTAGGAATGCATTATAGATGAAAAATATCATACATATATTCTATATCTGTTTATGTACAACAGCTTTTTGGAGGATCACAAACCATTGTAGTATCTAAGATTTTTTTCACACCCCTCTCATCCTCTAAGAACCAATTTTCACCTCCTTAAAGGGCAATCACTTCTGCTGAGAATGCATGTTTTAAGTTATTGGCAATGCTTTATTTCCTGACCTGAGGGATGACTGCACAAGTGTTTGTTTGATTATAATTCTTTTAAATGTACTTATGTGTTATACACCCTTCTGTTACATATATTTCACAATAAAAACTAATATTAGATGAAGTGACAAATTATGCCAAGAACAACGGGTTCAGAGCTGCTCAAATAAGAATATTATGGAATTTAGTTTAACAAAGAAAGCACATGCAATCATGAAATTTAAAAAAGCTATCTATCTATGTTTGGGGTGAACCAATAAGTTTGGTGGAGATCAACCTTTACTAAAGGCGGCTGGCATCCCTTCCCTAAGAAGAAAATAAGAGGATACTGCCACTTACACTACATGTAATTTTACGGGTACCAAAGACTTTCAAGTAATACTCAATTTTCTCATTTTAAAAATTGCGAATTCTATAAGAACACTAGAAAATAAGACAAATGAACTTTTAGTGTTTCTTTCAGTTCCTGCACTTACGTATATGCAAGTTAAAAATAGTAATCACTCTAAAAAACGAATGTAATTTTCTACCCTGCTTTTTTCACTTTAACACTGTGTCATAAACGTCCACACCAGAACAATCTTATTTAAAACCACACATTTGTAAGGTGGGCATTACAATTATTCCTATTTTACAAATTTCTTTTTTCGATTTGGGGGCTTGTCTGCCTTTGTTCAATTCGAAGGTAAACCAAAAAACATGGGGCAGAGGGTGCTGCGGCTGGGAGAGGAGGAAAACAGCATTTGAACTTAACCACAGAAATTGTCATTGCATTCCTGTTACAACCGCCCCTCACCACACCGAATTTCATAGTTCTCTCTCCTTAGTTCTTCGATCTTCCCTCTAGGGCTAAAACGCTCATCATCTTTTTTCTATTTAGTTTCTCCTTTTCTACAACCAAAATAGTCTTATTCTTATTCTCTATCAAGAGATCTCCCACCAACTCTGTAATTTACCTGACAGCAATCTGACCTCTCAGGACATTCAATATTCAACCCTGAAGCCGGAGCCGACCGGAAACGGAAGTCGCCACCTCGAGTACCTCACGGCAGGAAAGCAGTGAAGCCATTAACATTCCGGTTCTGAGCCACAGATACCTGGATCAGGTGGAGATGACATGAAGGAGGCTGGAGGTTGATATTTTCCCGCACATCTGTGCATCCAGAGTCTGACTGAAGTAAGAGAAATCGTGGAAGGCAGAGGGCAGGGAAAAGGAGATGTTTTCCTTTTTTGGAGACCGGAATCCTTAGATACTGCACAGAGGGGCGGGCCGCGGACATCCTGCAGCCAATAAGTGAGGCTGTTGTTAGAGTGTGGGCTCACCCAATGGGAGATGTGGTTGTTGCGCTGCAGTTGGCAGGCTGCTGCGGGAGGCAGTAGCGGCTAGAAGCCGGAGGCAGCGGGGTGACAGGTAGGCGGCGGCGCTGTCGTTGGGGGACGCAGAGTGCTAGATCAGACGAGATTTTCTTCTTGTCTGGCTGCAGGAACTATAGAGGGAATCTGACGAGGGCGGTTTGGGAAGGTGGCAACCGGAGTGTTGGTAGTTCCGGAGTCTCTCGCAGATCAGGTAGCAGCTTGGGAGGGTCGTGAGGAAAGGCAGCTGAGGCGGGTGGAGGCTGATCCCTGTGCGGCAACGTGGGGGCCTAGGGCGTGGGGGGCTGCGGCGGCGCGGGCATAGAGAGGAGAGAAGCGGGAAAAAGACAGTGTCGTGATGGCTGGAGAATTCTTTGCACGAAGCTCGGAGAGAGAAAAGGACGCGGCATTGCAGGCACCTGAAAGAAATCCTAGGGATTGCTTCTTAGGGCCATTTCTCAGGGTAAGAAGGGGGAGCAGAGAAGAAAGGTATTTACTGGCGGTCAGATACTTGAAACTCTTTATAGCTATTCATTATGTAACCCTTGGCTGTTATTTACCCGAACAACTAGATTGTTCCCCTTGGAAAAGGAGGTCTGGCAGCCTATCGATGTATCAGAATAGTTTTTGTTTTTGGTTTGAGTATTTTCTGCCCCGTCAGGCTCTATAAGCGAAGAAGCATGAAGGATAGAGTAGTCACGAAGATCTTACCCCAAATATGGACTTGGATTGAGAGATTCGTTAGAGATGAGCGTGGCCAGGTTCACGTTTTGTAGTTCATGAATGTATTTGTTTTGAGAGTCACGGCTGATTACAAATATTTCTTCTTCTTTTTTTTATCTTCAGGAAAGTGGAGAGTCTTAAAATCTATAATAAGAGGTAAGTGCAAAATGGAAAATGACTAGAAATTTAGTTGTTAGATTCTCCCTTCCCCCTTAGATATTGTGGATGTTAGAGACTGAAAATAAGGTGGTGGTCTGAATTGGGGGGAGGGTGCAAAAATAATCTTTTTAGTAATTTGCTCTCTAAGTATGAGATACTAGTTATGGATTATTTTTTAAGTTTAAAAAGTATGCTCTTTGAACCTTTCTGACTGAGGTAAAATGTATTTACAGGCATAGATTACTGTAAATTATGTTTTTTTCCTGAGTTTTTATAATTCATTGTACAATGACATGTACAATTGATACAGGAATTTCATTAAGTGTTATGAAGGAAAAGCTACATTAAAAACTTGGCTTTTCACTGGAAAACAGTTTTAAAAGCATTATAAATTGCTAAAATGTAAGCTGATTGAAATGTTGCCTTTAGCTTAGACGACAGGGACTAATGAAGTCCTTGCAAGTGTACTATAATTTTCCTTTTTCTATTAATGATAATTTATATTAGTATATCCCAGAACCTAAATCAAAAATTCAGTTTATTTCTCTAAATTTTATTAGATAAGGAGAGGTGGATCATTAGAGTTCTGAAATATTTTGAGTACTGAGGTATTTATCAGTGCTTGAGATAAAAATTTTGATACATGGTGTTTCGTTCTTTGTATTTTTACCTTTTTGCATGAATAGTACTATCTCAGTCACAAAGAAAACTTCTGCTTCTATTTTCATTGCAATTCTGTAGTGCGAGTATCTATGAACAAATCTCTGCTTTTATGTAGGGTGGTGTGTGTGTGTGTGTGTGTGTGTGTGTGTGTGTGTGTGTGTGTGTGTGTGTGTGCTGATTATGTAATCAGCCTACTAGAGTTGTCTTAGAGAACTAATGGCTGATTTTGAATGGCCAGTAGGTGTCATTGTAGAATGCAATAAAGTTGAACAAGTGAATAGGAAATTACCAAGTGATTTAAGAAACTTAAGTCCAAATTAGAATGTAATAAGAATTGGCTGATTTTTTATACATCATTCGAAGTCCACTTTTCTTACACATTTCTGTATTAGAGCTGTTTATAAGGAATTTGAAACAATGGCTGTAAAGAAGTATAATTGTTTTCTCTAAAATGAACCTCGAAAGCTTGTTTTTAAGTCCAACTCATAAGCCATCTTCGTATGCAATAGATTCAGTTTTTTTAATACAGTTTTGACTTATATTAGTTTATTAAGTTCTAGAGTGAGTAAGATTTTCAGCTCTTAATTTTTTTTTTTAAATACCAGGTACCTACAGCACCTGGTATTCCTAGGTGGTCTCCCATCCAACTACTAACCAGGCCCGACCCTGCTTAGCTTCCAAGATCAGACGAGACTGGGCACGTTCAGGGTAGCATGGCTATAGACTTGAATAGGATTTTCAGCCTGACTGAGCTTTATAATAGAAAAATCAGTGCTACCTAATGAAAAACTAAAATGATATGATATGGACAGAAAGTCTCCAAACAAGTTATCAAGTGCACAAAATAGTACTTTATTATTATTCTTTTAATGCAGGAACAGTGGAATTTTTGTCTTTCATTGTCTGTGGCTTCTTAGTTTTTTTGATGCCCAAAATAGCTTCTTTTTACATTTTGTCTGGCTAGTAGACTAGCTTTTCTTAGAATGATGAACTGAACATTTGTCATTGTCTAAAATATGATGTAATGGATTCTGGAGGGAGGTGGCACAGAAAGCTCTGAAGGCGGCTTATGGCTGGTGTTGAGTACAGCCCGTTACCTGCAGAGCCTTCTGCTGAGCTCTTGTCACTTTGTAGTTCTGCTCCTTTTGCCTCCTGTTGATACAATGTTAAAAAATAGTTGGATGGACCTAATTCAGAAATTCTCCATGAAAGTGTGTGTGTGTGTATATTCAGAATATATATATATATTCAGAATAATCTAAGTTTTAAAAACAAGGAACACAAATTTATGCATTATATTATGTCTAGTTCTCTTCAGAATCTTAGTTTTAGGGGGAATGTGTGTGAAGGGAGGAAGATATACATATTTTGAAGAAAAAAAATCCCCTGGTGAAATGATTCACCACTGGCTTCCACTTTAGAATCATTGATCTAATGCAAGGCTTTCATACTTGTGGTATGAACCAGTAACAATAGTTTTAGCTTGAGAGAAAGGGCTGCCAAATCTGCCAATATTTTTATAACTCAGTAAGTTTTCACCATTTAATGTCTTAGCTGGCATAGATTTTCTGCCAGGAGCTGAAGTTGCTAGAAATAAAAATTGTGCTGTATGTTTTGGTTTGGATTAGTTTTTACTTGACATTTAGCTGCTTACTTTTTGTTCAAACATTCACTCAATAATATGTAGTAAAACTTGGAATCATGAATATGGACTTTGACAAAAGTCTTTGTCATTGATTTTACTTAGAAATTCATTGTTCATCTTTACGAATTCTAGACTTTTGTTTGAGTATCTCTCTGCCATGGAGACAAGTACAAGAAAGAGTAAATGAGTAGACTTTAATCTTGGAAAAAGGAGTAAAAAGTCAATTATGTAATATATTAAGAGATAAAACTTTATATATATAATTATAGTTCTTTCTAGGGTTGAAATATAACTGCAAAAAAAGTAGTCATAAAATATACTAAGTGGCATCAATTTATTGAATGGCAAAGCATGAGTTTCAAAATAGTTATTCTGTTGTATTGTAAAACACTGAACTACAAAAAAATGTTAGAATCAAATTTATCACTTTTGTCATTATGGACCCTTGACTTTTTTTAAAAAAAAATTAAGGTATAATTGATGTAATCATTGACTCTCAGTAGTACTTGATTCTTAATATAATCTTGTTAGCTACTAAGATTTGACAGTTTACTTCCTTAAATTTCTTCCCCCATATATTTTTTGAAAAATTGGTGGAGGGAGTTGGATGCCGACCTGGGAATAAAACTTAATACTTTTACATATTCTTTTCTATGGCTTAAAAAAAATTTTTTTTTTACTGGACTTTATTTTTCAGAGCAATTTTAGGTTTACAGCAAAATTGAGTGGACGGTACAGAGATTTCCCATATATCCTCTCCCCCTGACTCATGCATAGCTTCCCCTATTATCATTATCTCGAGTGGTACATTTGTTATAATTGATGAACCTGCATTGACACATCATTACCACCAAAAGTCCATAATTTATATTAGGATTCAGTCTTGGTATTGTACGTTGTATGGGTTTGAACAAATGTATAATGACGTGTATCTGCCATTACAGTATCATACAAAGTAGTATTGAGGTTTTTTAATCAGCGTGTATTCTTTTTGTAGTTCTTTTAGATAAAAAAGGGAGTGGGGAGGGAAGAGTATGCCACTGTCTTTTCTACTTTCTACTTTCTGCTTTCTAATTGTAAAACTCATATAGTAGATATGAAGTTCTTATCAAATCTAAAGTTAATATGAATTGGCAGTCTATCACAGTACCTACTATTTATTGTTTGTGGGGAAAAAATGTTTCTGTTCTTCTGGGTTCTGTTGTCAAATCTCTTCTCATTCTGTACCCTGTCCATCTGATCTTATTTACTCAGTTAGCATCTAACTTTGATGATTTCAAATCTATGTCTCTAATCCAGAGCTTTTACTTGATCTCTAGTTCCCATGCTATAAATCTAATTGCCTGCTAGGTGAGGATGACCTGCAGGTCCTTCAAATACATCTAAAAGTGAATTCATATTTTATCATCCAATGTGCTGAAGCTGGAACCTAGTGTTATCATTTGACTCTTTTATTCATATATCCCTCATCTGTTGACTCTGGGTTCTGTAGACTCTACCTTCTTACTGTTTCTTTAATTCCATTTATTCCTCTCAGTTTTACAACCACTAGAAATAGTATGAAGAGTTAGGTAGGACCTAGAGGCAGACTATCTAGATTAGAATCACAGCTCCACCATTTATAGCCTCAGTTTCTTTATCTTTAAAAACAGTTGTACAACCCAGCAATTGTACTATTGGGACTTTATTCCAGAGGAATTGAAACTTATATTCACATAAAAACCTAGACATGAATGCATTTAATAGCTTTATTCCTAATAGCTCCAAACTGGAAACAACCCAAGTGTTCTTCAGCAGGTGAATGATTAAACAAACTGTGGTACATTTATTTACACCACTGACTACTATGCAGCAGTAAAAAAGAATGAGCTGTTGATAAACTTGCAGCAACTTGGATGGGTTTCAAATGAAAAAAGCCACTTTCAAAAGATTACATACTGTATGATTTCATTTATATAACATTCTCTAAATGACAGAATTATGGAATGAAGAACAGATTTGTGGCTGCCAGGGGTTAGGAATCAGGGAGAAGGGAGTGAGTGACTACAGGGGAGCCTCTTGGTGATAGAACAGTTCTGTGTCTTGATTGTGGTGGTAGTTACACAAATCTACATATGTTATAAAGTTTTATAGAACCCTTCTCTCTACACACATACATAGACAAATGAGTGCTTGTAAAACTGGTGATATCTGAATAACCTCTGTGGTCTGTACCAATGTCAGTTTCTTAGTCTTGATATTTTACTATAGTTATGCAAGGTGTTCCATTACGGAGAACTGGGCAAAGGGTACATGGGACCTTATGGCACATATTTTGGGAACTTTCTGTGAGTCATTCTATAATTATTTCAATCTAAAAGTTTTTTAAAGAGTTGTTATAAGGATTACATGAGTAAATATATGTAAGGTTCTGATTACAGTATTTGGTCCATCATAAATACATAATAAACATAATAGTAGTAGTAGTAGTAGCAGCAGTAGTTGAGGCCTTAACCTCTTCCTAGGCTTCTCACTTGGACCATTTTGATAGTCTTATTAGTTATCTTGTCCTCAGTCTTTCCTCCCTCCAGTCCATTCTACAGTGCAACCAGAGTGCTCTTTCTAAAATATCTATCACATATTACTTCACAAAGAATCTTTAATGGCTCCCCATTGTACTTTAATAAATTAGTTTCTTTTTTTGATCAAC